ATATATATATATATATATATATATATATATATATATATATATATATATATATGTATACATACACACACACACACTCTCTCTCATCATTTGCTTTGTCCTTGTACTTGTCTAAACCACAAAGAGATTGAGAGTCAAGAGTGAAAATCTGATTGTATAGCTGATTCTTATATTGGCCTCACTATTTATTATGTGTTTACATTAGTGTCTGGGAACCCCAAACAAGGGTCATGGCCCCTTTGGGCTAGGTGCTGTACAATATAAAAGGCAGATGCTGCTGTGAAGAGCTTACAGTCTAAGGCCCAGATCTTGGAAAAACATACTTAACTTTATATGCAATGGGTGAAATCAAAGTTCCACTGAAGCTGGTGAAAGTTTTATCATGGGCTTCAAAGGAATGAGGAGTAGGCCCTTTGAAGGCAGCGGGACGACTCACCTTGCGTAAAGTTAAATGCGTGGGATCAGTCTTTGCAGGATCAAGGCCTAGATGTCAGGTCTCAGTGGATGGGGTAAGCCAAAGCAACAGGTTAGAAGAGGATGGGAGGATGGGGTAACAAAAGAAAACAGAGTTTAGCAGAAAAATAGAAGTTCTAGCATAATGAGATGACCAAAGCTTAGATGGGCATGATTTGCAGGAATCACAGCAGGGGTGGGTTTTTAAGGAGAGATTGAGAACACTATGAGATGGCGGCTTTACAAATGTTGATGGGAATTTCCCCCATGATGTCTATCCCTGTTACAATAACTTTTTATGTTCATAAATTACGAAGGCCAACCACAATGGAAACCAGAGCCTGTGGTTGCAATCCCAAGCGATGCATTGTAAACTGTCAAAAGTCCTCCATGGGAAAAAAAAAGCAAAAGAATGATGAAAACTCCAGCTCAGATCACCACTGATGTTTATGTATTTGTTTTTAAAGTGGGATGGGGCACATATACTATGGAGACATGCTGTTTAGTCTATGTCCAGCCTTTGAACAGTCTCTGCTGTTTTCTGTATACACTAGTCAAAACACATGAAAGGTCCTAATGCACTGTATAAGAATGGCCATAGTGGGTCCATTCCGCCCAGTATCCTGTCTTCTGACAGTGGCCAATGCCAGGTGCTTCCAAGGGAATGAACAGAACATCGAGTGATCCATCTCCTCTCTTCCACTCCCAGCTTCTGGCAAACAGAGACTAGAGACGCTCAGAGCACGAGGTTGCATCCCTGGCCATCTTGGCTAATAGCCACCAATGGACCTATCCTCCAGGAACTTATCTAGTTCTTTTTTGACCCATGCTATAGTTTTGGCTTTCACAACATCCCCTGGCACCGAGTTCCACAGGTTGGGTGAGAGTTGTGTGAAGAAATACTTCCTTTTGTTTGTTTTAAACCTGCTGCCTATTAATTTCATGGGGTGACCCCTGGTTCCATAATAATATAGAAATATATAGAGGATAGAAGTGTATGCACTGATCAACTTATCACCAATATTTGAGATGAAAAAAGACCTCTCATATCATCCAGTCCAGCCTCTGACACCACAGATGTTGTTCTTCACATTACGTTCTCCAGCATTTTCTAGCTCAGTTTTAAATG